AGAGAAGAGCATTGACGCATTCCCTCACTGTGGACGCCCTAATGGAGTGATGCTTCTACATCCGTGGGACTTTTCAGACCGCGACCCAATAAAAGGCACGTAGTAAGTCAGGGTTAATGGCTTACCACAAAGACTATCCTACTTCCCTCCATGGCTTTGCCCATTATGTATCCCATCTCAGCACCATCATTGCCATCGCATAGAAGGATATGAAGTGGAAATAGGAGCCAACAAATTAAGAAAATCATTCGATATTAGCATGCGAATGGTGCTGCAGAGGCACCGCTCATGTGCCTGGACTAGTTTTGAGCAAGATTTAACTGTATGCCTAAGCTCTCAAAGACTGTGAAACTTAAATATACGAGCTTATCAAACTACCTTAAGAGTGCTCAGATAATTAGTAGAGTTTTGCAACTGACAAACGTGATGTGCTAGCAGCTGCCCTAAATTATTATTTTGTCGCAAACTCCGGCCCTATGAAGCGGCGTCCCAATGTCGAAAATCCGCGCTCATTAAAAGAGGGAGCTCATAAAATTAAAAGGGTTTATTACAACCTATTTTTGCAGAATAAAGATGCACGATGCCTCTCTTTTGTCTGTTATTCATGGTTCATGCCGCTTCTGTAATTACTTATCATTAAACCATTTTTATTTTATTCTTGAAGTAATTCGCCATCTCAGTGCATTTACAACCTTTGTCTTTTGTTCTGGCAAAAGATTCAACAAGTAAGAGGATGAAACGCAGTGTCAAAATTTGATTATATATATATATATACAAAACCTTAAATGCTTCAATTGCACCGGCGACCTTTTGCTTCACGACAGGTTGACTTAGCAACTTAGTTTTTATTTCTTCACTTAGGTTTCCCCTTCTTGGTACTAAATTTTGATAACCAACTGCTTATGTCCGGGGTTAGTTTCAGTATGAGGATTACTGTAACAAATCAAAACTGTTTCTTGTCTCATTTTTATATCCATGCCGAAGGCAAAAATAAAGGTTTGCCTTAACATCGATTAATCTTACCTTTTCTAGGGATTCAAGTTTTTAGCTAACATTAAGAAGTCTGTTTTTACAGAAAGGTATTGGTTGAAGTGCTAAATTAAGATGCCGTGGCTGTCTATTGGCTGTACTGAGGAGCATGGCATGCACATGACCTCACAGGCCAATCAGAAGAAGTAGTTTTGTCAGATGTCATGCGCAGAGTAATTCGATTGGCTGAGAAGCTGATGTCGGGTTGTGTGTGGGCAAGCCATTAGCAGCCTTTTCGTGTGCGTATATATTCACTTAGCGATCAAATAAATGAAAACAAACTAGGATCAGATTTGCGTTTACTATTTAAAAACAACATTAAAATACCAAATGACTCTGTCGACATTTTACTAACTGAGATCAAATTGTGCATATTGGAGCATATTTGGTTAGCCAGAGAAGGGGAAATTGCTTTGAAGTTTATGACAATTAGTAAAATTGAAATAATTTCCGTTTAGGATACCGTCAATTGAGGACTTTTTTGACGTATTTCAATCGAATTTTGCACCACTAGCATGCAATTTGTAATGAGCATCTTTAAAGCGGGCCTCTCTGTTTCTTTGTTCAATATTTCAACCTCCCATCATGTTGCGTAAATGTGTAGACTAGAACCCTTTCACTAGGTTTAAGTATGCAAATTAAATT